TGTGTGTGTGTGTGTGTGTGTGTGTGTGTGTGTGTGTGTGTGTGTGTGTGTGTGACGTGTTAATCGATATAACGCATTCTGAACTTCAAATCTTCTGACTTTTAAAAATGGAAATTTATATGTTTAATTTTAGAAGATTTATCAATTTCTAATTTCAATTCTAAGCTCATAATCAGATTTCTTTACAAAGAAAAAGATATCGACGAATTGGATTGAGATATCAAAGAAAAATTGCATCTTTTTGCTAAAGAGAAAAAAGAATATTGTTTCAACAAAACCAATGTTGAAATATTAAAAATGAAAGTACACATAAAAGTTATATATATTGAAAGTAAGTTGTTATTATTATAATATACATGCGTTCCATTTTCTACGGATGAAATTTTAATAATTGCTCTTAGATGCACGCTCTGCAGGGTAAATAAAAATATATTAAAAAATAAACATAAAAATTAATGCATGTGAAAGCGAATCTACATCTCAATTATTTTAAATTACATTTATAATACGGATCTTTTATAAATTTATAGTATTTATAAGTACATAAAAAAAAGTTACATAAAAGATCCATAAATTTGTTAAAACAACAGAAAATTAGAATAATTATATAAATATCGTGTTCTTTTTTATACAATTCAAGTGTTCCGTTACGATGGATAGAATTTTATATCAAGGTTTATCTCTATTACATAAAATTTTGCGTAATACATATATAATTGTGTATGATTATATATTATTTTATATGAGATTGAATATTTTCTTCATGAATATCGAACAGTAGGATTACTTTTCTCTTTGAAAGAAATTTGTAATTTTCGTATATGTCATAAACATGTTATTTTTATTTGTATATACAAAGCAATCCATTTAACTTGTATATTTTAATATTTTTGTTATTTGGAACAAAACAAATTGAAGTTATAAAATTTAAAATATTTTTAAGGAGTATTCGTAATTATTCGTAATATTTTTATGCATAAAAGTAGTAGCAGTTTGAGTTTCTTTAAATGAAATCTTTCTTTATATAGCATATATTCTTCTAATTATGTGTATTCTGTATACAAATGTATAAAAGTAAGATTATCGAAAGATAAAAAAAAAATTAATGAAATATTTTATACTTAATATTTCTATAAAATATTAATTTTGAATTATTTTATTTCATATTTATATTATATAACAAATCATTTTATTTCAAAGAATAGAAAATTGCTCTTAAAATTTTTTTTAGTCTACGCTATCAGAACAAAATTATTGGTTATATTATCTGCTCCTCGAAATTTTAAAATACTGTAGCTTTAATTCTTATCTTTACTATTAAAAACGGCAAAAATATTTAAAGTACACAAGTTAAATAAACTATCTTGTACAATGTACATTATAATATTTTTTTTTCTTTGCTTACATTCACATATAGAAATAGGAAGAACCTTGAGTAGAATAAAAACAACGATCAATCGATATAATGTTAGACTGAAAAAAATATCATTATGTTATAATCGCAAATGTAAAACATTCATAGACTGAGGAAGTAAGATTGCAAGCTGAAAGTAACTTTAAAAAATCACGAGATTGTTAAATAGTATCTACGACTATTAATATGTTATTGTTGAATAGTGTCTAAATGCTCTTATCTAAGCAAATCTTAAATTAGCTTTAAGCTTTAAGGAAGAAAAATATATGGGATCTTGTTAGAAATAAAAATTATATTGATATTTTTAATAAAAATATGTCACGCAAAATTATAATAGTTGAATATTAACTTTCATGCATGTCACGAGCGTTATCACTGATAAAAATACGTTGCCTCGTACAGAGATTTGCTATTAAGATAGTATAGTATAACACAAAATAGGATAATTTGAAATCAGACTAAAAAAACCTAGAGAAAACCTATCATCAATAGTGAAATATAATATGTAGAGGCGATAATAACTATTGCGCTAATAGCTGCGACGCAAGTTGTAGACTAGTAATGATCTCACGAAAAAACAAATGTAAAACACATTAAACATAAATAAATATATCTAAATATACCGTTTTATATGTGAAAAAAAAAGGAAAATACTTCCTGTGTGTTCTTAATCCCTGAATCATTAATGTGTTGTCAGTTATACATATAACATTCTTAACAATTAATTAAACATATAACATCTTAAGCGTCCATTTGCAATTATATTCTTATCCTCTCTTATCTGCAATCTGGATCTTTTTTGCCCAAATTTAAATTTTTTTTCTGTTCTAGGCTTAAGAAAATCTGAAATAAGGGATTATTCAGAGTTATTTTCCAAAATCTTTATTAAATTATCAAATAATTTTTTAATTCATATTTTAGGAGAGAAGAATTGCACTCCATTTTTTTTTATAAAACTTTGTCGCAAATAAAAAGGTAAGAAGTTTAGATTAAAACAATTTTGGGTAAATGTTCCCCTTTACACAGTCAGCCCCAAACGACCTTTGACCTTGACCTTGACCTCTAAAAAGATCAAGGTCATTAACCTTTTCCGTTGCTCGTTATTCATTAAAAAGTTATTAATGAAAACGTTTTTATGAATAGGACACTTTCAACACAACATACACATTCCAACATGAAGAATGTATAACATTTTATTCATTACTTGACGATACATCATTTAATGGATATAAAGAAGCCATTAATTTAAAAAATTGCGGTGTTCTCTTAAAATCATATCGTTTTTAATAAATTCTGCTAAATAATGTTCGCAGTGTCCTCGTACATCAAATCGTGTGTGTGTGTGGTAAAGTAGAACAAATATCACACCATAACCGCTCAATATTTTGTGTATATACACCAGATTTAGGGTCAACAAAATTAATAGAGCGATTAACGGTCTGATGCACATAATCAAGTTCTTTTAAAAGTACATATCCTTTTCACAAATCACTATAAATTATACTGCCTGGTGCAATACGTTCTTGAATTATTCTCGTTAACATTTATGCAGTACGATCTTTCAGGAACAATAAAAAAAGATTTACTGCTACGTTCAATGGCACCAAAAACTCATTGCCCACTAATTACCCGTTCTCGATTATATTTCCCAATGCTTCATCGACCAATGCTTCATCGACTTCCACTATTATACCACGACTATCAAACATACCAGTTTCTTATCTCATCCATTGAGCTAATAACTGGAAAATAATCAAAAAATATAATAATCAAAATCACTTTGTGTGGAAAGTCATGTGCCTCTAAGCAGGGAGGAGGTGAGATGGTATATGGTTGGGTTAGGGGGGTTGGGTTATTATATACCCATGGGTATAGGTATAAATCTAACCCTAACCAAATCACATGGTACATAAATAGTTTATAAGATCTTCATAATTGTAAGTTAAATGAAGAAAATCGTGGAGCAACATCTTTGCTCTATCAAATCAGACAAAGAACTGTTACAATATATTCAAGTAACAATGTGTTTCCTTTCCACAATATTGTTATTCTCAAATTCCTAACACGAACGTACAAGCATCAACTTACGTGGAGCAAAACTCATACTATTCTGCTAAAATATGTACCATGTGTTTGAAAATTACTTATTATTTATAAATTGTTTTCATTAATAATTTTTTAATGAATAACGAGCTACGGAAAAGGTCAATGACCTTGATCTTCTTGAGGGTCTTTTTTTCTCTCAGTATACAATTTTATTATTAAAAAAATAGAAACATACATAATAGTGGATGCTTTATAGCATATTTTTTCTTATATATTTTCTGAAATTTCTTGAATATGTTTTCATAATAACATATCTTTCTTTTCTCTATATGGAAATAATCATTTTTTTCTTCTTTTACTTTACATTTTTAACCCGTTTATTTATTTTGCACAGGAAAAGTTTTTTATTGTGATAATTTTTCTGTAACCAAACTGTTGAAAGCATGAAATGTTCACGGGAATAAAATCTTTAATTATTAACATATAATGTTAGTTTTAATGCATTTGATGTTCTTTGTCTGTTCTTTGGTGTAAAAAATGTGATTATAAGGAAAACTTTTAATAACTTTTCTTCGTAACGTTTTTTTTTATGAATATGCATTTATTACACACAGAGGATAAATACAGATTTTTGTATCTGAAACAGAGAGAAAAGCAAATATTTTTGGAGAATCATCGATATCGCAAATTCAAAGGTTAGAAATACATTAAGTCATCTAGAAAAAAATCACTGTAAAAATAAAAGTAAAATAAAATTTTTACAACATCGGCCAGATTAGCAGCGACCAGCGTAGAAAAAAAGAGTCTAAATTCGACAAACTAATCGCAATCATTTCAACGCTGAAAATTGAATAATAATGTTACGTGTCGGCTTCCTCGTTGACAAAGTCTTCGTAGAATGGGTAGAAGGACGCAAAAGAGGGTGAAGGCGACGAGAAATAAGCGACGAATTTCAGAGGGACAGTGACAGAAGGAGGAAGATAGAGAGAGGAAGAAAGAGGGAAACTTGGATTACGCGTGATCGCCGCTGAAGTAACTACTTTGCATCATGAACAGTTTGTCGATGGGATTGTTGATGGCCGCGTGCAGACTCTGCGACAGCGACGGGGTGTCGTGGGATGATGAACCATGGTGGGAATGCGAGGCACCCTGATGACTACCGTCCGCGCCGCCGCCATCGTTCTCGCCGATGTCGAAGCCGCCGTCCGTACCGTCCAGGGACAGATCGCTGCTACAGAAGCTCTCTCCCGAGTGGCCCGGGTACACGTCTGAAAAAAAAGATATGCATTTCATCGTTTCTCGCAAAGTACCATGGCACTTCAATGAGGTGCAATGGTATCTCATTCCGAGATGTTGTATGTATGTCACTGAATGGCATGCAAGTTGCAATGAAAAGATTTCTAAATTTTACCCGCAGATGTGCATATAATACAAAATCAGACAATGCAAAATGTATCGCGGGAGAATAAAGAGATTTACTTTGATCAATTCTATCTGCAGTATCTATACTTTGACACTGAATTTATTTACGTGACGTATTAATTATTTCTTTATATTTTTCTCTGTCATTGTTTTTAAGAGAAATAATTTCTATATATAAGGCGCTTACCTTAAAAGTGATCTAAATTTCATATTTGGATTTCTTCCAAAATTCAATTTCCAATTTTAAAGCGTTAATAGTTTCATCAGTTATCAACTTATAAAAAGTAGTCTAATTTATGAAAAATAACCTAATCCAAATAAATTTCCTATTTTAAAGTGTTAATGGTTCAAATTATTAATTTTTACGGTAAATGTCTTATACGAAATAAAATTATTTTCGACATATTTTAAGACAAACTAGAAAAATATTATCTATAACACAATAAACTATATATCTTTTGCTGAGTGAGAGAAATAGAATAAATATCCAATAGTTGGATTATTAAATAACAGATTTGATTGTATCGAAAAAGCTATTAAAAATTGCAGACTCGAGATATAAAAAGGAATTGTCGTTCTCTATATAGAAACTAAAAATATTCGGTTCGAATTTGAGTGAGCGCATTGTTGGATGTTCTAAAAAAATGTATAGATATATCCGAGCATCTATCTTTGATTAAAAAAAAATTGAAGTAAACAATTTTTGCCAAATAGAAACTTTTTATAGAAACGTTATCGAGGTACAATTATTACAGCATTTTTAATATATTCAATTTATACTTTTAAATTTTTGTGATAAATATAAAAATAAACATAAAAACGTAAAATAATTTTACCACATTTTTACCAGGAAAAAATTAGCTGCCGAATGCAATTGACATACATTTTCACTGCTTTTATTTTTAACAACGTGTTTGATCAATTTTATTCATTCACCTTTTGAACATTGCCATTATATTGTAATTAATCATCAAAAATACGAGAGGTAATATATGTCAATTTCCGCAATTAATTTTTTGTTGATAAAAATTTGACCGACTATTTTATATTTCTAAATTTATTTCTACATTAATTATTATTATAAGATAATTTAAGGATTTAAATGAGATTTAAAAGAGCATTTTTAATAATAAATATTAAAATGTTGCACCAACTATAATTTACAAATTTTTATCAACCATTTCCATAAAAAGTTAGTGAAAGAGTCTATTACGAATCAACCGCAGAATGTCTGCTCTCAAAAATATCACACACGTTCTGGGATACCTTGTAAACAACTGAGACGTAAAAACGCGTTACGCATATACCGTCTGTGACACCGGTGCGCAAATGAGTTTCTACGGTGAGTAAAGACTTACCGTCGGGCGAGTACGGGTTATTGGGGTTGAGCGGTTGGGTGGCTGAGGGGAAGCTAGAAGATTCCCCATCGCGCATGTTCAGGGCGTTCAAGTAATGACCTGCGAACGAGATTAGACAATTGACATTGAACTCATTCGTTTACCCCATTAACCAGTCTTCGCAAATTCGCGAAGTTCGTCGATTCGCGTGTTTTTCCTCGATTCTCGAGACATTACTCGATTTTTTAAAAAATTAAATAACCCGAATGTGATAAAATATGACGAAGATCGCATTAAAATTTATTAATCGGAAGATCAAAATAACGTATAGAAACAATAACGTTTTCGAAATTTTACGTTTAGATTCGAAAAAGTATTTCAGGATCAGGAATTCAGGAGTAGTCATGCATAGTTTAAAAAAATATCGCTTGAATTCTCGATAGAGTTCTGAGCTCTCTAATAAGATGAAAAAGGCCTACTCACTGTGATCGCTGTGTGGACTTTCCGTCCTTCGCTCCTCCTTTGGCTCTTTATCGGATCCGGGCTCCGTTTTGGCCTTTCGCTGAAGTTTCTTCATCTTCGCGCGCTGATTCTGGAACCACACTTGAACCACGCGCACGCTAAGGCCGGTGTCCTTAGCGAGTGCTTCGCGAACTTTCCTGCAAGGCTTCGGGGACACCTCAAAAGACGCCTTGAATTGACGTCGCTGTGCCGACGTAAGAATCGTCCGCGGCCGTTTCGGACCCCGACGGCCATCCCGTGGTCGATTCTCGTCCAATAAGTCATCATCTAGCAATAGGATCCATTTATATTTATAAATATTTTACATGTACAGCATCGCTCTCCTCTTATTTCGTGTCAATCTTTTATTTATTTCAACTATTTCGAGTGTCTGCTTTTCAATACCAACACCCCAATACCAACATATTCACACACATCTAAGCACAAACAAATAAATAAAGAATATCAACAGAATTAAATAATATGTACAAAATAATACGTTTTTCTCTTTATAATTTTTAATAACAAATAAATTGAATTAATAGGAGGCGGGCGAGCGTTATCCACTTAGGTGTCCTTATTTTTTATTTTTATTTTAGAAGACATTTCTTATTTATTGATAATTTTTAATGTCACCGAAACATATTATCATTCGTATATATATTCTTATTTTTTATCGTATGTTATATATTAATATTTTTTAATTTATTTTGACAAAACATCTGTTTTTGCAAAAATTAATGAAAGGCTTGTTCCCTTTAATTGAATTTCTTGCACAATTCATCTTTCTCCTTCCACGTTCGGAGAGAAACAGAGAATTGCGTAAGAAGTTCAGCTAAAAAGAATAAATCTCTAACTATGACACGAAAGCTTATTGCGCGAAAACATTAAATGATAAAAGAGGATAAAGAATAATATAAGAGCGAACAAATTGTTATCGCGGAAATAATGTTCGCGTTCCGAATTTCGCGATTTCGTGACCTCCGTGCGACGGATTGATCGTGAGACGCAAGAGGCAGTGGTCGAAGTCGAGCAGTAGATACGGGTGGTTTCGATCAGACAGTGATCCGACAAAGCGCAGGCCACGCCTACCGTGCAACATATGTACCGCGGCGCGGCAACATGTCGGCCGCGAACAAACGCACCGGCCATACGCGCGAGGCGGATTCCATTTTCCGCACGAATATTTCAAGAACTCTGGGAATTCCATTGTTAAAAATTGTTTCGCTCCGTGGGAATACGGGGCGAACAGTGGAATTGTCGATCAAATCAATGAGCGAGAGAGATCGCTGGCAAATCGCGGATCATTCATTGTTAATAAAAGCGCGATGAACAATTAAAACCGACGCGGCAGGAATATTTGCACGATATACTGATATAATTTTAAAAAATTTATTTCCAATGCTTCATTGCCTCGTGAAAATTTTTAGATTTATTTTAAAATTTTTATCGAGATCTTTTTCATTGTTTCCCTGTTAATGTGCGATTTCTTGAATTCATGTTTTATATGCGTAATATAAAGAGAGAGCGAGAGAGAGAGAGAGAGAGAGAGAGAGAGAGAGAGAGAGAGAGAGAGAGAGAGAGAGAGAGAAAGGAATATACATAGAAATGGTGGCTCACAAACTGCTCTTTTATCATTTTCTATCGTCGTCGATAACACATAAAATATCTCGAAATGCGTGCTATAAATTTATGTCGAGATATCAGTCGGATAAACGCCATGGAATAAATTCCACATCTCTTTTGGTAGCAAGATATATTGTATTATATATTATCACGATATTTTGATTATATGCGAGAAAGGATTGGCGAATTCAACGATGTCTAGTTTCAGGATGTCCCGTCCACACGATATAGCTTTCGATCATTTATCGCTTGATTTAAATGTAATTACCTTGAAAAGGAACAGCCCTGTTTCGAAATTCCTGTAGATTTTTACTTTGGATGTCTTTAGATTGTAGTACAACCTGCGAACAATGCAACAAGGTATGTACAATGCGTTTCTCAACGGTTTTTCATTTTATTGTTATTCGGTGTATTTTCAAGCATTCCGCGGTAATGGTCCAGGGGAGGCTTTGTGAAATTATTACGCGGCCAAAAACTCGTATCGCTCGCCAATCTCAATTCCCAATTCATTATAATTTGACGTTGGAAACGGCACGTCGATTGATACGCGTTTAAATCGAAACAAGACGATATGAAAGATAATGAGCAGTTTGTTTTGTCACAGAAAACAATATATATACATATATATATATATATATATATAAGAAACATTAGATCTCATCCTTTCAGTTTATTCTGCACGAGTAAATTACGCCGAGATATTTACTTAACTATAACAATAAGCCTTTCGCAGAGTCGCTCAACTGTAATATCGGTTAATGCTTCTATCAACGACAGGATGAAAATAGAGATTGTGATTTCACATAGAAATAGACATGTCGTGGAAAGTCATTTCATGCAACATGATACGCACATTATACACTTTCATTCATGCCAGTATTCATTTACGATACATATTTCACGTAAGAACGGTGTCTGTGTTGTACGAGAAAAATAATTATTATGTCCGTGCATACATCGTCAATACATATAGAGTTCCTTAAAGGAAGATACTAGGTTGAAAATGAGAAAAAAATCAATTTTTCGTTTTTGTATTTTCTTAAGTAAGTTTATCTATGTATATGTAAATCAAATTCAGTAAAAATTAACAAAGCTAGAATTTTATATGTTGCGGGACTTCATTGTAATATACTAATATGGCTTCCGTTAAATGCTAGAATGTTAGAAATATCCTATGATATTCCTAGTTTAATATTGCTAGAAAATATGTTTCAAAATAAAAATCATTCTTCATTTCTTTCTGAGAAGAAAAACGAGTTATATGATATACCAGAAATAGCTGAGAAATAGTAAGTACTAATTGTTTGAGATATTCATAGTTAAAAGTTTAAACGTGGTTTTTTCCAAAACGATATTTTCAAAATCGATATTCGTGATATCAAAACTGTTTGATTGATCTGGTTAAAATTTCACAAACTTTTCTTTATTATTTAATCTTATTCTTCATGTAGGATTTTTCTTAAAAACGTCTAGTTTTTTTGTTGATAAACATAGTCTCAGGCAAAAATCATTTTCTTACTTCTGCCATTTAAAAAAAATACATAAAAAAACAGCTGTATAGGAGGACAAGATTTAAATTTCCTCTTTAAAATTTGCAAAACACTTTTGCTTTCAGAACATCTTATAAAATGTTTATACGATGACCAACGTACGTTTTGATAAGCATAGTTTGCTCCGATTAGCTGTTGCAGCCATAATTTATAAATAAATTTGTATAAAAAAATTGTTTTAATATAGATAATAATGTATTATATTTGAAGTAAATGTTTTATTTGATTTATTATCTTTTTCTTAAACAAATTCTCAATAAACAAGTATTTTAATGCAAACTACTGTCTCCCTTCAATTAGAATACAATTTTTACCAGACTATAACATTGAATATTTCTTATTTACTGCTGTTTGTATATATCTTATTAATGTATACCGCAAACCAAATTTATATCAAAAAAACTGTTTATAATTTATCACATTCTTTTAACAACAAAGTGATCACTTCAAATTACTTTCCTTATTACTTAAAATTAAAATTGTCTCAGTATTTTCTACTTTAAATGAATCCCTTTTTTCCTCACTTATATAGATGTTTATGAAATATATATAATAAAAACCCACACACACACACACAGTCTATCCATGTACGTCTGAGGAGAACGATAACCGAAATTAAGTGCGCTATTTCAAAATGGTTGAATCGAGCGAAAACTCGAAACTTAACCCAGATGGAACGCATACACGCACGTCTATAAAATACAAATAAAACAGGCGACACTCACCTTGTGGACTATTTAAAAACAGTTCGTGTTCGAAGTCTCGTCTGCAGATCGGCTGGCCCTGTCTAAGGATGTAGTGTGCGCCCCGTGGCAACGGTTGTCCGCACATGCAACACGCGAAGCATTCCACGTGGAAGATCAAGCCGGATACCGGCCGCATCACCAGATCCGAGCAGCTGATCTTCTCCATACATCGCGCGCACTTCACTCCGAAGATCCTCTCGTAATCGGAACGGCAGTAGAGCTTGAGGTCGCGTATGAAACACGAGTGCGACAGCATCGCGCCACATGCCGTGCACGAGAGACACTCCTCGTGATAATTCCTCTCGGCGACTCGCATCACGTACTTGTCGGCGATGGTGCGGCCGCAGCCGGCGCAGATCGTCTCAAGGAGGCCGGACTCCGTTTTCACGGAAACGGATGGCTCTGCGGGAACAAATGATCGACGTTTTATATTATGATTACAGCGATATTTGCAGTAATTTTGCTGACCATAAATGCGATACCTTGGAATCGAAATCGGCTGAATGTCATTTTTATGGGTATCAAAAGCAGAGAGGAAGAAACGCAGTAGTGCGGATAGATGTATAGTCCGCCTTGCTGTTCCGCTGCGCGTAACTTGGCGCGAAACACGACCGTGTATATCTCTCAACGTAAATTTAACCTTTTTTTTTTTACTTGTAAGACGCGTAAAGTAGCGTAGATATAATATATTTAATAGTTCTATTTCAAATTAGTATCTATTTTTTATTTTATTAAACAAGTAATTAATAGTCGATGTGTGATCTAAAAATTTTTTGAGAATTTAGTGCTAAAACAATATTATACTTTTAGAAAAAGTTTTAGAAATTTGCTTGCATCACGATACATATATAATTAATATATTTTATGATTTTTTTAAAAAAGGATTAGGTAATATAAAAAAGTATAAATAACAAATAAACAACATTTTCAGTTTGAATATAGAATACGCATCTGTCTCTCCTTTTTCAAAGTAGATAATAAAATTCATGATTCTTCAATTTCAAAATATATCTACAGCAATTATAGTATTATTAATTATAATTTTTTAAGTTGACATTTTTATTTTATAATTTTCTATTGAATCAAATTTCTTCTTGGTAATATCGTTAATTTTTATTTACGATATATTTTCGTCATAGTATGAATATAAAAACATTACTTATGAAATAAATTGTGTATTGTGAGATTAACCTTTACTTTTAGCAATGATATCGTATGTAATATTTGTAATACTGTTCATAAGAATTTTAGACTGATATTCATAATCCGATCTATTTTTCTTAAATATTTTATTCTATTTTCTCGAGATGCTGTACGATCATTTCAATGATTGGAGGAAATCTCAATTAAGCAGTGTGTATAATGAGATTTTAAGGCGTAAAACTTGAACTTAAACTTTAAACAGTAAGAAATTGATCAATCACAGTCGAATGTGAAAAGAATAATCAATGACAGGTAAATTTTGGCTTGAAATTCAAAGTTTAAGTTTTACGCCTCAAAGTCTCATTGTAGATGCTTGCGTCATTTTACACACATTTTAAATCGTTATTTAAATCGTTATTTAAATAAATCATTATTTAAACTTTAAGCCTTGAACCGTAAATCCCCAAATACAACAATATAGATGTATTAAGCCATAATTAACCAATCATAGACAATTATTCTTTTAATTGTGATTAGTCAATATCTTCCTGTACAGAGCATAAAGTCTAGACAACATTGTATGTGAACAATGGAAAATTGATTAATGTTGAGACAACGTTAGAACACATTGTAAAATTTCCATATAACATCTAAATATCTCAATTAAAATCCTCAGATGGTTCCTATATGAGACATACAATAATGTCTAAAACTTTTCGTGAACTACGTAAGAATGTTTTGTAACTTATATATATATATATATAGACACGATTCGAGAGAATTTTCTCTTACCCTAAAAATTAAATAATCGTGGAACAGATTTAAAAAAATTTTACCGTTCATTTTAATAAAATTTAATTGTCCAATAAAATATAAGATACAATATACGTGATTAAATTTTAGTAAAGTGCATAGTAAAATTTTTTGAAATATATCCCCTGTTATCCCACAATTCCTTAATTTACAGTAAATTTCAAAAGAAAATTCTCTCTGTGTAGAAATAAAATAATGCTCGTTTTTATTTTTTGATATGTTATATGTCACAAATGCAGAGAATGAAAAGTTACTTTTTAAAAGTAATAAGTTATAGTTACTCGTTGCCGAGTAGAAAAAATAACAAGTTACTGTTACTAGTTACCGATTTTTAAAAGTAACTTGTTACAGTTACCATTACTCGGGAAAGTAACTTTTTGTTACCTTTCCACTTTGTTAAAATCGACGACCATCAATCACAGCGAACGAGTATCTAAGGACTTTCTAGTTTATCTAAAGACTTTCAAGCACTATAAATGGCATATGTTCAATCAAATCGTATCCAATCGTGTGCAAAGTAGCGATAAAAGTAATTATAAAATTCGTTACCGTTACCAAAAAAAATGTATAACTATACGTTATTATTACAATTATCAAAAAAAAGTAACGTAGTTATCAGTAAAGTTATCAAAAAATAACTTGTAATTGTTACAAATAATGAGTTACTTCATTCCCTACAACAAATATTTGAAAATAAACAAATGCTGCCTGCTCATAAATAATATATCTAACTTTTTAATTTGTCGAAAATATTATGCATGTGTAAAGGTAATATTATTTTATAACGGTTTGTATAAATATAATTCAGAAAAAACAGAGTTAATATAATAATACACAGAGTAATACACAAGTAATACACAGACTCAGGTTCTGAAGTGAATACTGCAACGGAAAACATTAAATACTATGGCATAATAAAAATGGCTATCATATTTCTACAAAACGTTATATGCTCTGCTTTAGATTATGTTTAAAAATAATATTGTAAGGTAATTCATAAAACATTTTCTTTTTCCCTTTACTTTCTCTGAACGTTTGAACGTTTTTAGAACGTTTTTAGAACGTTTTTAGAAATGTTATGTTCTATACGGGTTACGTATTTAAGCCTATTTTACAATGTGCTTTTTATTTCCTGTTTCTTGCTTTTTGCTATTTTTTTACATCTTGTCATTTTGCTTCTTATCCGATTTTTTGTTTTATATCGCCCCAGATAAAAGTTAACGAACTTCGAAAAAAAACAAGAAATACGTAACAAGAAATACAATTGTCGATAAAACAAAAGGTTACAAAGGAGAAAAAAGCAGGCAAGGTAAAAAACAAGAAACAGGCTTTAAATCTTACTACATCTATTATCTTTCGGGACTAAGAAATTGTTCAGTTCACACGGTCGAATGAGAAAAGAACAATCGACTTAACTAGTCAATTTCTTGCGGTTTAAAACTTAGATTTAACGGCTTATTATAGAAAACGTATTAAGACTATCCACGACCAAACTTAAGATGAATATAATGTCATCTACAATACACGGAGTAAGAAGAGTAAGAAATTAATTAAAACAGTTGATTATTCTTCTCACATTTGAATCTGTGATTGATCAATTTCTTACTCTAACTTCTTATTCCGCGTATTATAGACGACGTATAAGAATTATGAATATCTCCCTTAGTTTTACTTTTTTGGAGGACCAAAAAATCTTACAATTAGATCGAACGATCATATCTTTGCTATTTTTCTAATTTTTTAAAAATAATAATCTCCACTATATATTGCGAAGTCACGTATATATTGTATAAATTTATTTAGAGATTTTTAAAGAATTCTTAAAGCATCTTCGTGCTTGGGATTTAAAAACGTTTATACCGCGGAATGAAAGTACAAACTTTTTATATGTTTTATTAATTTGTTCTCACCTGCATTATTATTATCGGTTGAGGACCGAAAGGGAATAGGCGGAACCGTCGGCAAAGGTTGGCCCGGTTCGCTTTGACGATTGAAAGAACCAGGTGCTGGAGGATAAAATTCCAACATGGTGTCTTCTCGCGCTGGAACCTTGAAGATAGAAAGTTTCTGAGCTGTAAGGAATCTTAAAGTTTTTGCAGCAAGCTTCCGCTGGAATTCTAAACACTTGAAGGCCACACAATGTCCGAATAAAAAGTCTTTAGACCAAATAGAGAGATGAGTTAGGTCCCAGAAAGGAAAGTTTATCTTCTTAAAAAAACTCTCCCTCTCCTTTTTCTCTTGCCTGTTTTTATTCTTGGCTTCTAATTAAAATCTTCAGTTGTCTCTTAAGTCCTAATAGAACTTTTGATTCAAGTTTTTCGACGATAGATCGACGATAGATCACACTTTACTTGTTCCTCGTCTTGGCGACTAATTGATCCTTCGAACTGTTCAGCTTCTTCAGTATCACTTTATCATTAAAAATCAGAATATCGCGTCGTTTCACGCTAAATATATATAGAAATACAACAAACTCTCTATTCAACACTTCAGTAAATCAGTTCAGGCCTAATCTAAATTAGCCCTTTACATCGATCTTGTTCTGATTAGAATACTTGTTCCTCCGATCGCACAGTGGCGGAAAGCGACGGCAGGAGAATCGTCGCGTTTAGCCCTCACCAGTTTTTCGATACGGGCAATGCCGTACGTCATCCAAGTCTCATGACGAATTGGCGGGGCTGCGGCGTGCGAGTTTAACGCGACGATCTTCTCGGACGACCTCGAGGCGCGAGATACCACGACCGCATCGCATTCTGTACACGAAGACGATAATCGCTCTCGATGTTTCCGCACTTGTACCCCGTCCACTTCCACATCCACTCGCCCACTATCAGCACCGAACGCACTCTGTACGTGACGGTTTCGTACGTGTCATCAGTGCGAGTTCCGTCGCTTTTTTGACGAAACCCACTGACTTCGCCGACAGCGAAAATCATCCCCCTCTCCATCCTTTCTTCCCATCCCCCAAATCCCATCCCCCCACACAGCTTTCTCTACCGTCCCGTTTGTGTGAGTGTGCAGGTGTGCGTCTCGTCTTCGTCATTGGAGATAGACGAGGCATCGACGCGAAAGTGAGGAGGGCGGGTTCAACCCCCGTGGAAGCTAACGGTGGAAGCGCGATTGGCGTTGCTCGGAACCGCCCTTGCTAGAGCGAACTGGTGCAGCAGTGGGGTGAAACGACACCAGTGGTCCTCAACCGGTGGCGACATACGAGCGGAGATCAATATCCGGCCGACCATTGCCGGATTCAGTGACGTATCTCGACGAACTCGCCAGACATCAATTTTGGGTGCCACCAGCATCTCTGTTTTTTTACAAACAATCATGCAAAAGAAAAATTTAGATCAATTTAAGATAAATTTATATTTAATTTAGAATGTAGTAGCTCTACCCTCCTATATGTGTATCTCGTCTTTGTCATTGTAAGCGTCAATATAAGAGCGAGCAGTAGATTTATCTGTCACAGTAAAAAATATATGTCAAAAATAAAAAATCAAACTGATGTACGTACTATCGAGAACGTGTTACTGACTTTTAATATTATAGAAATAATTATGTTATTGCAGAAGATTAATCTAACAATACGACACATAATTTTCTATGTAAAAAAGATGTACGAAATGAAAGCTTTAAATGGTGAAGCTGGATTTTTTTAGTGATTAAATAATTTGAGAATTTATATACATAATCCTATTATACAAACTGCGTGTTGAATATAATTTTCAGTCTTGAAATCCGATCCTATAAAATCAAAGTAATAATATCACAAATTGACAAGTAGTAATATTAATGCTCATAAGCATTTTAGAAAAATATTTATAATCTGATATCTATTAATAAACATGGCATTTTAAAACCTGTAAATAATTTTATTGCGAACAATATAATAGTTCTGTTAGAATTGCGTTTCAAAATTAAACTTGGCGCGCAGTTTGCAGGATTAGACATAATTTATTTAGAACTAATTTATTTTGTTTAAAAACAAGCCACACTTGACTCCAAAAAATTAATAAAGAAGAATAAAGATTATCTTATATAATTGTTTATTTAGTCTAATAGCGAATTCGATTGGACGCACTTAGTGCGCACTGGTGCACATTAAAGTCGTCGTAAAAAAATAATGTAAAGATATGTTTATAAATAAACATAGAAATCGATTAAATCGCGAAATTCTCAATTTTATTGTACTATTATTATAGGTAAAATATGTATTTCATAATTCGAAATATTTGCATTTCATTTTTATACTTGAATTAAATCAGTGTATAACGGCTTTAATATGCACTAGTGCGCTTCCAATCGAATTCGCCATAAGAAGAATACCACAAAAGTGAAAAATAATTACAAAACTAATAATCTTAGCTAACTCAACTTCTAGATAATTTGAGCAATACAAAGCAATTTCCACTAGTGAACATCGATAGCAATATAATTTTATATAATATAATTTTATATAATATTTATTTATAGATATAGACGTCTGTTTAAACTATTTCATAATGACTGTTTAATTTAACATAAAGGTCTATCGAAAAATATGATACAGACAAAACGTTGTAAAACCAAAAAGAAGACGTTGAAACGCTATATTGACATGAATCTATTTGTGTAGGCTTGAGTAGCGCTCGTCGTCGATCAGCCTCTACTCTTTTTTCGACGCATATAGCTTTTACCCCCGCAGATTCAGCTAATAACCGATACCATTTTCGAGCAAGACTGCCTGCGGACATATTTTTTCACCAAAAGTCGGTGCGCACTGAGTATTTGGCCGTTTGTCAGTCCGCGTAAATATGCGACAATGCCGTCCTTTGTACGGGCCGTCTATCGGCGATGTTTGCCAAATAAAAGCCTATATAGATCTCTTTGTCTCTGTTCCTGTGCTGCGCGCGGTACGAATCCCCCAATGATACGCCTAGTTGGGAACGAAACTACGGCATTGCCCCTCCGGTGCACGATACAAAGGGGCATCAAGTTGTCGGTAATGGTGATGCAAAATATTCGGGGGAAACACGTGCAGGTCGAGGGAGCCCCCGTCCCTTTCCGTCCGAGAGATGCCCAGTTAGTATTCAGACTCGCTTAATCGTACGCGACAGTCACCATACGTCGCGTAGGATCGATGGATCCTTTACTTAAATCCCTTAGACTCGATAGATGAAAAAAGTCGTAAAGTGGTAAATTAAATCAAATTGAAAAACTTTAATTTTTATTAAAGAGGAAATCCAAATTCTTCATTTACTCATATTTTATTTACCTATATTTTATATTATATTTTATTTATATACTTTATTTACCTATATTCTATTTTAATAATAAATAATTGAAGTTTTTTAGTGTTTTAGAATGACTCAGTTTGAAGATCCCGACTTTTATATGAATATATTAGATGAAATAATTTTTTTTATTTATTGTATACAAGCTTTTCTATATTTAATTTTATTCGTGATAGTTTCTTCGTTTCTATTTTTAATAATTTATTTAATTTTTAGTAATTTTCTTTTATTTTATTTAACATTAGATGGCAGTATGCGTAAAATTAAAGTTACAAAATTGTATTAAAATAATTTAATAGGATGAGGTTTTGTATCATTTATATTTTTGTTAAAAAACAACGCGGTAGTGCCGTTTCAATAGTCTTCTTGATTTAATTTGCGGTTCTCTATTTTAGTGGAAAAAAAAAAAAACGAGTGATTTACAAAATTCGGCATACTCTCGAAAAATCTGTGTAATTTAATCTGTAAACAATAGCTTTTATCACACTTCGGGCGTTAAGAGTTAAAGCCGCGGGATTCCAGATGTAATCCGAATCTCGATCTAGGATCCAGTTATCGATCCCGGTCTTATTTCTCGGGACAATGAAAAATTAGGGATGCTCAATGACCCTTACCATTTCACGGCACGTAAAAGCATAAAAGTCGCTGCAGCATCAGATGAAATATGGGGTTCTTTGCAGGTGTATGCAATCCGAGACCCCACCCTTCATCGGCATATTGTTTAGGATGTGACACTAACGCCGACCGTGTAATTATGCCGATACGGTTCGAGCATTATATATCTTGTGGAGAAAATCCCTGTCCGCACAGGCCATCCAACTTCCCTTCGGTCACGCAGAGAAAGGGTGCCTACGCAATGTCGTACGGTGCTATACGATGTCAAAGCCTTGAACGCTTTGTTTTGCACATGTTCTGAAAATGCAGAATATATATAGACAGCGGAGACAAACTTGTAGACATGTCTTATGCCACTTGTGTGATGCATGTGTTCGAACAATTTTGAAAGAGGAATCATCTTTTAAAACGTCCAGCATAGACGGCTATGTAAAAAAAATCAATAATACCTGGAGTGGATTTACAAAGAAAAATGGAGAAACATATTACAGACATCTGGACAGAATATTTCAATCTACACTTCTCGCAATAATATCTGAATAAAAATATCCTTTAAAAGTATCTACCGTTACGCTAATTAAACTGTTAATCCCGACTTTCTTAATAAATTCTCATTGACGGTATCTCGATGTATAATACACCGCTGATGCCGAAACTCTATAATGCACGTTACGTATTCTACAGATTTTTAATACTGGCAGCGTACATCAGAACAATGAATTAATTATGAAAGCCATGCTCACATTTATTTCTTTCCTACATAGCGATTACGACTCATCTTACACTATATCTTACTCTATCAACTCCCGTAGAAAATTCGAATATGATACCATTACTCGGTGCACAATAACACATGTCCCTCGTGTCGCGACAAATAAGAAAAGGAAAAGGTCGCTATCGAATCGCATCGTCGCTTTTCGGGGGCTCAGTGGAATCCAAAACTTGACGATATCCTGCCACCCCGCGCTGACGGCCGCGGGATGAATTCTAATAACGTGTCCTCTTTAGTCTAGCGCGCACGAATCCATCTTTTGCTAACGAGGGTGGAAGTTCACGATTGCGTCCCAGGAATGCGTGATGACTACTTTGTTAGGAATGCGGCACGGCGCGGCGCCCATACGAGAGCGAAACGAGAGCGGTATATGCAGTGGCGGAGAACATCCAAACGCCCCGAGCGCAAGCTGAGCTTTCGAGATCTCTTACCCAAGATGCATACCGACAGGATCAGTTAACTCTCGAGATAGATTCAGAAGAGCGTTATATATTATTTTCGATTATACACGATGTAACCCCCATTAAGAGTTTAATAAGAAATTAAAATGATTATTTATATATATATATATATATATATATATATATATATATATATATATAAAG